CCCCTGTCCCCAGCTGGATCCAGTCCTGCTGGGGTGAACATTTAAAAGGAGCAAAAAAAAAAAAACCTTGCTCAGTCTCATGGAGTCCTGAAGTATTGTAATAGGATTTTTCTAAGGAATAATGACTTATTACCGATTTGTTTGTGGGATTTTTAATATTTTTAAAAGCCTGTTGCTTAGGAAAAACAGACTTTAGAGGATTCAGACACTTTATTTTTTATTTTTTTGTTATGCACTCCAGCACTTCTAGTTGATGATGAGGGAAATGAAAGCAGGAGAAAACAAATGCAAACCTGGTTATTTTAGGCTGCACTGTCCAAGCTAAGTGAAGTTCAGTGCAATAATGCTAAGACTTTTAAACAGAAACTTAACTTAAACAAATCTTACTTAAAATTTTAATGACCAGGTTTTCTGTGTTTGCCTTTTCCTTTTTTTTCCCTAAAAATGCTGAACACCTATAACCCCAGTTAAGTCAACTAAACCCTTAATTGCTCAATATCTTGGAAAGTAAGGCCATTGTTTATGAATAATATATATATATTTCAAGAGGAAAAAGATATTAATATGACATAGCTTAGAGGCAAAAGTTTAGATTTGTTTTTCAAACTTAATTCAGGTTTTTTGGGGGATTGTCAAAGGGATCCTAGAAACATCTCAGAAATTAATAGAGATGGTCACAGACCCAAGCACTTGTCCAGGTGCTGATAGATCCATGGCACGGGCTGCACACACATAGCAGTGGGCTGTGTCCAGAGGGATGTGGTGTGGGGTGATAGTGCCTCACATGTGCCAGATGTGCTCCCTCACCCTGTCCCCAGGCTGCCACCACTGTGTGCCAGTCACTTTTGGACTGAGGGGTTCTGACCGTGCTGGCATGGTCTGTTCACCCGCCTGGCACCAGGTGCCAAGTGAAGCAACCTTTCCCGACAGAGCAGGGAGGCACAAATGTTGGTGTACATCAAATGGATCTGCCTTTGTGCTCCTTCCTATTGGTCACGAGGTGAGGAAACCTGGCAGCTCTGCAGAGCTGTGATCTGAAACCTGCTGCCACGTAGCACTTGGTCATTTGCTTTTAGCACTTCCTCCCTTCCTGCGCTCTTTCCTGTCTTTTTCTGCACCAAAGAAATTGTGTCTGTGTAAATACAGAAACAGTGATTTATTCAAAGTCCTTTTATAATTAGAGTACTGCAATATTTTTAATGAAACCTGATTGTTTAACGTTGGGGGGAAAGGGTTTCTGTTATGTCACAGTCGTGTTTCAATGGCTGGAAATGCAACAGTCAGTTTGCCCCCAAAGGGGAATTCTGTCCTGGGAGCCCTAGGGTGCATCTCAGTTGTAGGGTCAGGTGTTTGCCAGGCCTTTTATGTGCACGTGGGGCTTTTGGTGAGGCCCAAAAGCAGGCCCTTGAAAATAAAACCCCGGAGATTGTTCTGAAGGAATCTTTGCTTTCCTGCCCTGTGTCCAAGTAGTTTGCTAGAGCTGTCCCTCTGCACACAGACTGCTGGGTGCCTCAGGAGAGTAGTGAAGATCCTTCCAGGCACTGAGGAACCCTCCCTGGACAGGGCAGCAGGCTGGCCAGTGCTCTGGGGCCTGTGCAGAGCTGCTCACTGACCCTGACTTTTGAGTGTTACCTGAGAGGTGAAGCTTAGACTTTTGGAACTGTTCTAGCTGGGCCAGCAGGAGAAACAGTTATGCTTCTGGCACACCTAAGATTTTGTTAGAAACTCCCCTGCCCTGATGTGCTGGATGTTGTGGCCAAATCGTGGTCTGAGGTCTGGGACAGAACAGGAGTTGTAGTTGTGGTTCAGCCCTGAAGTTAACTGAACCAGTTTCACTGTGTGTTGAGGGCTGATCTTCCAAGGGATTTTACAGAGGCCCCAGATATAAAACCTGTATCCATTCCCTTCTTACTTCTCCTGCAAAGCCAGCTGGGTGATGCTGCCAGAAAAGAGCTCAGCTTGCGACTAGTGCTCTGTGTGCTTGTTCCTCAAAGTGGTAACTCCAGGTCCAGCTTGCCTTCTCTCATCCTAACCCCCAAACCTGCATTTGTGTTCCATTGCTCCCTCCTCAGAGATCACAGGAGCTGTCTTGAGTGTGGGGATAGATCTCACATGTTTCATGTTTGTGCAATTTGAACTGTCTCATATTTCAACACTTAAAATATTTCCCTAAGCATCAGTCCATACATTACAAATGTAAATAAAGCTGCAACAACAAAATCACTTGACCCATTGGGTTTGTTTTTCTCTGAATGCAAGGTGCTTTCTGCTCCAGCACTCACTTTGTCTTGGGTGTCTCTTCTGTGTGCAGCTCCTTCTTCTCTTTGGGATTCGTGTTGGTTTTGTTCCAGTTTTATTCCATGTTTCTTTTTAGTTTTGGCCCTTCCACGTTTGTGTTTTCCTCAGAGCACAGGCACGAATTAGCCAGTTTAAAAACACTACATTCCCACACTGCTGGTTCATCCAGCTCTGTATCCTACAGTGTTGGAATCCAACCAGCTGCTTTCAGAAGCACTGTTAGCTCAGGCTCTTTGGGAAAAGGCAGGAAATGTCAGTACTTTATAATCAGGCTGGAAAGCTTCAGTAGAAGACCCAAACCTGTGGAGCACTTCTTTGAAAGGGCAAGGGTACAAATAGATTTCTTCTTTATCAGACAGGGACAGGCCCCAAAACAACTGTAGCTTTTTTGCTGAACTGAAATACAGAGCAGGATTGATACTTTTTCCCTCACATAGGTTGTGATCTAATTCTAAGTAAAATAATTCTTGGTGAGGTCCATGTCTCACTCATCTCAATAGCAGAACTCCTGTATTTGGGGGTGCCAGGACATTTTTCAGAGACTTGGAGTGTCTGGATTAGAATTGAGCCTCTGTTTCAGTTTGTAGCACCAGTTCTACGTCTGAAATTGCCCCAATCCCAACCAGGCCCATGAGGTTCAGGAGTGCCTTAGGGAAGGCCGGTGTCACACGGGTTGTGATGGATTCGTGAACACAGTCCTTACATCCTGCCTTTTTTTTTTTTTTTTTTTTTTTTGCCATTTTCTTAATGCTTTGATTCTGTCTTGCTCCCCCCCCACCACCCTTCCCGTCCCTCCCCTCCCCTGTCACCGCACCTGCTCTCTCCTCGCTGGGGTTGTTTGTTCTGGAAAGCTACAGTCTGTGTGACAGCAATGATCTCCCGCTGTGCGAAGCCTACTGGAGACAAGACTTTGCCACGCTGTCCCCCGAGAGCCTCTCGATGCCTCTGGCAGCTGCCACAGCAGAGCCGAGCGTCGCTCCCTCCCAGAGTTCGACCCCGTCGCATCCCCACGTGAACGGGCACGGGGCGGGCCCGGCCGAGCATTCCTGAAGAGGATCCCGACGTGCTCCTCCCACCGGCCCAGCGCTGCTGGAAGTCTTCCACCTGCTGTACTACTGAGCGTCTCCTGCTGCCGGGAGAAGGCACTGGGGCTGTGCTGGCAGGTTTCTGCCCTCAGGATGGCTGCAGTGCTTCCTCCCCACCAGGACGCTGCCATGAGTGTTCCTCTCCCTTAAGAGATAGAGATAAGTAGACACAAAGTGGATTGTTCTAACAACTTAGAGTCAGGTTTGCTTTTACGTGATAGTTACGTGTAGAGTTCATTAGAAGTCCAGTTTGTTTCCATGTGAATCTCAGTGAGTACATGCTGGAGTGTTGGGAGTTAAATAACTTGAGCCAAATGTGAGGCAGTGAGTGTTCTGGGGTTTTTACTCTGCCTCCCTAAGTTATTGACATTCTGGCTGCTTTAAAGCTCTCTCAGGATGGCATCTGACAACCTCTGGTCTAATTTAAAGAGTCTTATAGTATTTCTCACATAACAGTCTTCACTGTCAAAGTGCTTCACAAACTTGAATTCTTGGTTTGGGAGGAGGATCTCAGGAGACCCTTGTGGAAGAGCAGTGTTCTTCACAGGGAACAGGGACCAGACTGAGGGATCGACAATGCCACTTGCTCAAAGCCACAAATAGAAGCAGCTTTAGTCGATTCCTTCTTCAGTGTTTACACAGAAATTTCTACTAACACAGTCTGAGCTAACATGAAGCCACTGTTTAGGTCGGCTTTTAGTTTTGCCTGATAAAAACATCCTGAGATGACTGGGGTGTTGGGAGCAGCGAGGGATACTCAGTTACTCTCAGTTTCCTTCCAAAGAAACATGTTTGGTGCTTGTTCTGCAGCTGTTCAGCAGCTCAGCACATCATCTGCCCTCCCGCTTTGTGGTGGCTCGAGCTGTGCAGCGGAAAAGGGGGGTGTCACTGCACTGGAACACGGTCACCACAGCTCAGTGTCACGGGCACTGCAAGAGCTACCAGCGCATTCCAACAACCTGCTGAGCTTCCCCGGCGTTCTGCTGTAATGTCTCATTTCCTAGGATGTGAATTTTGCTATAATTTTTTGGTTTCTTTTTCTTCCATTCCATTTATTTTTTTTTTGTAACTAGGTGATTTAATAAAACCTGACTGGTTTGTATGATTTTTAAGGCGTGTGTTTTCAGCCACGAGGCTTGGTGGAAGTGTGACAACCTAAGGACATGCAGTGGGAGCGAGCATTCCCCTGTGGGCTGGGAAGAAAACCCTGCTCCGTGCAGGCGTTCCCGTTTGGGGGCTCTGCAGAGACCTTCACTAAACCCGACCATGCTCCGGGGACCTCACCCCGTGCAGGTGAAAGCTCTGCACCTGTGTGTCCCCCAACCCAAATAAAGGTTTGGGAGCTCCACATCTGAGGTTAGGGGCGAGCCGCAGGCAGGCTGCGGGAGCTCCGGGGTGATGCTGGAAGGAAGGGGGGTCTCGGGGTGACTCGCAGCCGCTCCAGAGAGGCCCGAGCACCCCCGGTGTGGCGGAGGGACCCCGGTGCTCCGCGGAGCCCTCGGTCCTGGCGGTGCCCGGGGCAATTCCATCGGGTGAGGCTCCATCCCCGGCCGCTGCCGCCGCTCCCAGCGCGCCCGGCGCTGCCGTCACTTCCCGGCCGGCGCGCTCCCATCCACCACTTCCTGCCGGGGATCCACGAGGAGGGCACAGCGCCTCTGGGACCCGGCAACGAGCTGGCAGGGCCACCCCGCGGCGACAATGGCCAGCCTGGCCGCCCAGGACTCATACCTGCAGGGCTTGGCCAGGAGGGTCAGCGCGCAGCACCCTCCGGAGTCGCGGAAGAGGAAATTTGGTAATGGAGCCACTGTAACCCTTCGGCTTCTGCCCTCTCCGGCAGCTTTGTGGGGGTCTGGGTGCGACAGCCGAGTCTCCACGGCGTGCTTGGCCCGTGGCAGAGGCGTTGTGCTGTTTTGTAAGAATAAAACAATCTCTGCTGAACCACGTTGAGCACGTTGCATTTGGAAATCGGGTGTCTCCATTCCTTGTGGTGATGGATGTGGGAGAGCTGGGCTTATACTGAAGTGTGCAAGCATCTTTGGTCTGTTTGAATAAGTCCTAGAATGTGTGATTTTTCAGTATTACGATATGCCATTGCAATGCTGAAACTTTAGTCTTCAGTAACAGCTGAATGTGATGAGTGAGAACGTATCGTTGTCCAGTTTTGTATTATTTGTTTTTGCCTTCTAGTGCCTAAGCCAGGCCAGCCCGAGGATCCTGGCAGACAGCCCAAGAAACAGAAGAGAAAGAAACTGAGGAAGCAAACTGAGAAGAATAATGCACCTTCAGTCAAACAGGTGGTTTCTAACACCAGTAAATCCACTCCAGGACAGAAAGCAGCCCCTCAAGCCAGCAAATCCTCTCCACAGGGTGTTACACAGAATAGGAATGAGAGCTTGGCCACAGGTAAGAATTCCACCATTGCCGTGGTCTGGTTAAAGGGACCTGGGCTGAGGTGGCTGCTTTTCAGTTGCTTCACTCATGTCTAGTTTGGAAAGCCTTGAAGAAATTCAGCTGAATTGAGAACATCTTTTAATTTATTCTGTGTGTCCTGAAAGCTTTTGCCTATGGACACAAATTTGTGCTGTCACCACTGGGTGGCTCCCTGGAAACAGTGTTTAAACTGAAATGCAGACTTTTTATGTATTTAGGAATTATGTATGGATACAATCCGTGTCCTGCCAGGTCAGTTTTCCATTATGACTCTGAAAAGCCAGATCACAGAGAAAAGATGTCCTGAGCGTCTCTGTTTCCACAAGCTTGATACTTGACAGGCAGCCCTGGGGCATGCCAGGCCACTTGCTGGCAGTGTTGAATGATAATATGGATAGAAAAGGGGGAATTCTAAAGAAACCAATGAAATAGAAACTCTTGGTTTGTTCAGATTTTCCGTTCCATTCACAGCATCTAAAGAGTTCCCGGAGCTTTTCCCACAGCCATAGAAAGTGCTTCTGTTTGGCTGGTGCTGTCTTTTAAGTATTTTTATTTTCTTCCTCTCATTTTCAGGGAGTAAAAGTGAACTGAGTTCCCCTTCTGTTTCTGCAATCAATCTCTTGCGTCAGAGACTGCACGAGAAGATTAAAAAAGCTTCTGGACAAGTATGAGAACTTTTAATATGTGTTTATGCACTATAAATTCTCCTCAGCCTCCCAAGGGATGTGGGGATGGGATCTCACAAGGTTCAGGGTTTGAGCTGTTTCTGTCTCCTAAGGAATTGCCGGTAGGTATTGCTGGGAGACCTCTCTGTGTTCTGTGATAAAAACACATGAGAAAAGGTGGAGCCAGGCTTGGAGGAGAACATGCCTGTGGTGATTTTCAGGAAAAAGCAAAGCACTGAGAGCCTGAAAGGGAACAGCTACAGGCAGTTGGAGAACGAAGGGTTTGAAATGCCCTCGCTGTGTTTAGTGTCTCTAACAGCTGAGCTTGTCTCAGGTGGTGTGCTTCTTAGGGCAAGTTGGAGATCAGGACAGCCCACTTTCAGCTCTGCTTTGTCCCTTTAAGGCTCATTCACTTCTATTCTTCTTCTTAGGGTAATGCCAAAGAATTAACCCCTGCAGTCCTGGAGAAGAGGCAGCGAAGGAAATACGAGAGAGAGAGAAAGAAGCGCCGAAGAAAGGAGTTGAAGATGAAGGCAAAAATGGAGAAGAAAGAAACTGAGGAGGTACCAGTGGAGCCAGAAAACAAAAAGGAGGAGACCAGAGCTGAGGTTGTCTTTAACAGAGTTGAAGTCCATGAAGAGAATGAGTTGAACAAGATCCAGAAGAAGAAGGAGAAGAGGAAAGCAGTGAAAGGCAATATCACTCCTCTGACGGGCAAGAACTACAAGCAGCTGCTGAGCAGGCTGGAGATGAGGAAGAACAAGCTGGAGGAACTCAAGGATAAGGACGAGAAGAAAGCTCAGGAGCTGGAGACCAAGATAAAATGGACAAATGCTCTCTATAAGGCGGAAGGTGTGAAGATCCGTGACGACGAGGAGCGGCTGAAAGAAGCTCTGAAGCGCAAGGAGAAGCGCAAAGCCCAGCGCAAAAGGCAGTGGGAGCAGCGGACAATAAGGGTGGTGGAAAAGATGCAGCAGCGGCAGGACAAGCGGCAGAAGAACATCCAGAAGAAGAAGAAGGATAGGATGGAGAAGAAGAAAGCCAGGGCCAGGAAGAAAGGCCGGGTTCTGCCAGAGGACTTGAAAAAAGCTGGGTTAAAGTGAGAGGGAGGTTGCTGGTCCTGGCAGCCCAGATTCCATCCCACTTGTGTGCCACTGTCCCAGGGGAGGCAGTGCCTGAGGACACCAGGCTGTGGGGCAGGCACTGCCACGGCTTCCCAGCTTCATCACAGGGAAAAAAAAAATTGTATGTTTGTTAATAAAGTTTTTTATCCTAAGGACACACCTTCTGGCTGGTTAATAATAAGAATTATTACTACTTTCCTAAAGAGGAAGTGTTGGTTGCTGTCACTTCTGATGTGCTGTAGGGTGTGTCCATCATTGCCATGGGTGCCACCGAGGGAACCCTTGGGGTTGATGGGCTTCAGAGGGGGCAAAAATAAAGGAAAAGGAGTGCATAGAGCAAACAAGATGCTTGTAGTTTGAATGGATTAGGAGCTGCCTTGAGGTTTTCATGTTTGGGTGAAATACCTTTTCAGCAGCTTTGTTCATTTCATACTTTGGACTTCTAAGAAATTCTAGCAAGAGCCGGAGTGCAATCTGAGTTTTAGTTGCAGGCTTTGTTCTCAAGAGAAGGCAGTTCTTTCCTTTTGGGAGCTAATGAGAGGGAGATGAAGATCTTGCATTTTTAGCAAAATTTAAATATTGCTGATAGTTTGATTTCAGAAGCCTTTAAAAGGAACACAGAGAATAGTTCTTTGTTCATATAGTTCTATTGTCAAAGGCAGAAATAAAGGGGCCTCAGCGCAATCTTCTGACACAAGGGAGCAGCAGCTGGATTTAGGTAAATAAAACTATTTCACCACTATCAATTTTGTGCTTTATTGTTGTTTATGCAGAAATACAGGTATAAATTTGAGCAGAGGGAGAAAGTACAGCTCAGCTGCTGCAATTCAGCGTGGGGGAGATGATGGGTGGGAGCAGCCCAGAAGGTAAAGCCACTCTACCTCTGAGAGCAGTCAAATCTTGCTGGTGTCCTCTTGATCCTGCCTGGTGTAACCTGAAGTTTGTTCTAAGGTCAGTGATGTTACAGATGGAGCCCAATAGAATTTTTGTAGCACTGAAACAAGTTATTTTTTGCCTTATCAATAAAGCTCCGGTGAATGTGCTGGGAGTGAAAGGCAGGCTGGGCAGGCAGTGCTTCCAGCTGGACCCCTGCCAGAGTGCACTTAACTCCTGGTGGTGCAGCTGTAATATGAGACTCTGAAAGGTGAGGAGCCCAAGCAGTGGATTGGTGCTGAGGTCTGTGTTCAAGCCTCAGGTGTGATTGAGCACAGCCGTGTCACCGGAGCCTGTTTAACCCCGGAGTGCAGCAAGGAAAACTCCTCCTCGGCACAGATGGAGCCCTTCCCACGGATATCTTCTCTTTCTCCACGTTCTGGACGGGACTGCACTCACAGCTCGCCACTTCAGCTCTAGGAATCTGAAACACAGGTTTGGAAATCTGAAATAGTCGATCTGCAAAGAACGTTTTGCACGGAGTGGTCTGCAAGTGAGGGATTTATCTGCAGTCCAGAATGCTTTCCAAGGCAGGGCTTGAAGATAAAGTAGTGCTTTGTTCTGGGAGGTCAAGTTAGTTCATTTGGGAGTAACAGAGCTACTTTCACCCATATCCATTTTAAAAAAAACACTCTAAACAAATTTGAGGATCCTGAGTAACTATTAAAAATGCTTTAGCTGTGTTTTGGTTTTAATTGGAGATTCTGTTTATTAGCTGCAACCACATCTATTTCGTTTTTGTTTGCATTCATGGTGAACTCTGGGGCTGTAAATCAGTTGAGGTAGATGTCAGTGAGATGGTTTTAGATTCAGGAAGATGTCCCAGTCTCATCTGGCTCCAGCATTTTTGCAGGTTTGTAACACAGAAACTGAAGCAAAGGGAGAAGGCACTGGCTCTGCTCCTAATGATGCAATAACTCAAAATATGGGGATTACTTTTCCTCTCTTACAGAAGTGTATGAACTGTGACAGCATTTCAGTTTTGTGGGGCAATCCAGCTTTACTTAATGCTGGTGAGGGCTCAGCAAGAGACTTTGGGCTGTCTGGCACCAGATTTTGGGAGAATGGGCTGATTAGAAAGAGTCCAGTCAGAACTGACAGATCCCCGATCTTGCAGTTAGAAAAGTACAAAGAAAGATTGAAGGAGCTCACAGAACAGAAGAGGGAAGGAAACAGCAGAGCCTTCGGGTATGGAAAGTGGAGTCTGCAGGTGTGGGATCACTGCCACAAACAGGCACAGACCTAAACTGCAGTGAGTGAGATCCTGGTTGGAAATTTGGAAGCCTGCTGCTGACAAGGGCAGGACAGCACCAGCACAGGTTGCCTACCTGCCCTATGTCTGAGCAGCTCTCAAAGAATGGTTGAGAAACAACTGTTTGAAGCTGGTGAAAGCTTGGAGTAATGGCTACCGGGGAAGGCTGTTTGCACATCCTTCTACTCCTGTGGATCTGCAGCATTTTTAGGCAAGAATCCAGAACTGCTCAGCAGGAATCCATGAAGGCTTTAACTGGTGGAAGGCCTTAAGATATTTAATTAATTAATTAATTATTATTTTTGAATGGGATTTTGTGATGCCTCTTGGTGAAAACCAATTAGATTGCCCAGTGGGAGAGTGAGGATTTCTGTACAGCACAGTAAAGCAAATTAAAGAACTTTTGCCACTTGTCTTTTTACAACCAGAGAAATTATAGCAGGAGAATCACTCCTGCCTTACCAGATCCATTGGCACTGGTTTATGCCTTACCCAGGGCCAGGACAGGAATGATCTCTGGGGTTACTTCAGCATCCCCCAAGAAGCACCACATACCAGTTACTCCCACTGGCATAAACGCTATTGACTCCATAAATAGAACTTTGACAAACAGCCTTTTCCTTCCCCCCCAGGTTCCAATCACAGAGGAAAGTGTTTTCCTCTTAACTGGTGCCTGCTTTCAGTCCTTCCAGCCAGCCTGGAAAGCTCCACAGGATGCTATGGATGGGTGCCAAGCCTTATTCTCAGCTCCCTGGTTCTGTCCCCTCTGAAGGTAATAATGAATGTAATGACAATTAACGTGCTTGTAACAAGCCCCTTTGGGGGCCCCATGCAAGGGCTTTGTGTGTTTGTCACACGTGGTTCACTCTGTGGGCACCTTTGCTTCCCTGTGAACAGAAAAGGGATTGATTTGAGCTTTTAAGGTAAGACAGCTGAGCTTGGGGAAGTTGATTTTTATGGCTGTTAAAAAGGAAACAGTTTCTTTGACTTACAGAGAAATATTACCCAACATACATTAGTGTTGTGTAATGTTTATTTGCTGGTGTCACACCTCAATTTACCTTTCTTACTCCTTTGCAGGGAGTGTCTCTGGCAGCTATTGTCTGTGAAAGGTGGGGTTTATCAGCTCTCTGATGGGGTTGGATTGGGTTGAGTTGATTACATTGCGAAGGGTTTGTGCCTCAGCTGAAAAAATGGAATCTACAGAAATTGTAATCGAATCAGAAAGGCCCCTCATGCACTGCACCTGGGGTTAGAGCTCACTGGCATGGAGAGGTTTCTCAGACAGTTCACAGGTGCTGCCTCAGTGACTTCGTGCCCTGGTTCTTACAGTCTGGCTCCTTCTGTGCTCCTGATTTCAGGAAGACAGAAACAGAGACTGCCTGAAAAGCTTCATCCTCCTCTGAGAAAATAATTGATTCCTCTCAGATACTTCCAGCCAGCTCCCCTTGCTTTTTTTTGTTCTTTGCAGATTGAAAACTGCTGGAAGTCAGAAGCTGCCCTTCCTTCTACTCTAGAAGACATGATTTCCAGGAAGGTGGTGGGATCTCTTGTCTGTCTGGTTGTTGTTACTGCAGTTATCTGGTAAGCATTTGCTGGTCAGCTTGGGCATGTTTAAAACACCCTGTGTAAATACTGTGGTAAAACACACAGGAGCAGAAAAACACAGGCTGTGCATTTTGTGGAAAGTCCCTGTTGGAGCTGTAAGAAAGAACAGCAATTTGCATGATAGATGAAGGAGCACTGGTAGGGGGAAAAGGCTCTAAGGGAGAGAGCAAAAAGAGCAATTGTGTCTCAATCAGGATGCTAACACGGTACTGACTCACAAACAAATGCTTAGGTACAGAATATTCCAGTTACATTTCAGTTCAGGCCTTAACAGAGATGATTATCTGTCTCTTCAAACAGTCCAAACTCACTCCAGTGTCACCAGGGACAGCTTTGTAGCTGTCAAACACTGCAGCTTTCAAACACCGGGGATTTTGTAACTTTGAGTATTCTGATGACTGTGACTTCTGGATTCTCTTGAGCAAACTCAAACATTGTTTGAAGGGAATCTGAGATCAGGTATTTCTGTGAATTATTAAATTATTGATTACTAAATTATTGCTCATGATCCCATATTTCTGATGTCACAATTTGCTGCATTTTCACCCTGTGGGTAGTTGCATTTATGCCTTAGCAGCAGCATGTTATGTTAAAATTTAAACACACCAGATCCTACACTATTTAGTAAAGTAGGCATGCAGTTGGCTAAAATTACCTCTCAAAATCTGTGCCAGAGCCTCAGATCATCTTGGAAAATCCTAGGAAGATTTCCATCATTTCCTCTTAAAATGTTTCTCTGCTTTCCCAGGATTACAAATTGGAGTGGAAAAGTGCACTACCTTCCCTACTACCTTCCTTGCCCTGAAATCTTGTAAGTACCCAGGCTTGTGTGCACTGAATAACACAGATCCTTGTCACAGGAGCTGTTCCTCACTGACAGCACAGGCAGTGATTAACAAGTCACTTGTTCTTTATTTTATGAATCTATAATGAGTCACTCTCTTAGAACAAAAAGGTAACAATGCAGCCTGTGCTGTTTGGACCTTCCTGCCCCACAGGACAGCTCTGGATTTGCACAGCCTGAGTGAGGCTTTGTTTGTTGTGGGTCACAGAGACCAGGACTAACAGGTTAATGTCCTCTCCCAAGACCTACTGTAAAAACAAACCAAAACGATGGAAATAGAAAAGGTGTTGTTTTACAGAGGCATTCCTGGTTATTTCAAGCCATAATAAACCACTGTGTCTAGTCAGATGCTTATTTCTCTGAATGCTGTTGGAAGTGTGATGTATTTCAGGTAGTTCAGCCCTCCAGGTGACCAGGAAGTGGAGCACATCCATGACCAGCACTGACAGTCCCCAACATGCCTGTGCTTCCCTGGATTTTGAGCCCTAAACCCTGATTTACCCACACACTCAGATTGCTGCCAGTATTTCTCTGCCCCTGTTGTGTTTTTGTGTTCTGTTCCAAAACTGTCACTTCTCTGGCAGCCCTGGAAGGTGTGTGAAGTGGTGTCTAACCCTGCAGTGTGCACAGCAGCTGGAGCTGCACTTGGACAGCTGTCAGTGCAGCAGCAGGTCCTGAAGCTGAACCTGGTTCACATTTTAGGAAAGCATAACAAGCCCTTTCTTTTTCCACCCCATCGTGCAGCTCCATAAAACTCCAATATACAGAAGAGAAGCTAATCCAGCTTTTCCCCCAGTAAGTACTGGCTTTTTATCTCCCGACCTTTAAACTGCTGTTCCTCTCTTCCAGGCATATTCATGTATTATTCAGTGGATATTTCTTCCTTTTTACAGATTATTTTATCAGCAGCCAAGAGTGCTGGCGCCAAAGTAAGTTTCTTTGTTTGAACTTTATTTCTTCTGACTTTGGTCTGGGCACTCTGCAGCACTCACAGTTCCAAAGTCCTGGGACACACTGAAAAGGACCTTGTTCCGTGAGAATCCAAGCCATGTGGGTATGTGCTGCTGTAAGGTTGGGTTTAACACACTTACTGTTAATTCCCAATTAAAACATCAGCACACACACCCAGTCTGAGTGGTTGCTGCCAGGAACTCTTTCTGAGACGGGAGATCTGTAATAGCTGGAAGACAGAAATACCTTCTGGAGCTGTGTAACCAGCTGTGGGAGAGCTCTGAGCCCATTTCAGGGCCAAAGCAGCAGGTGCTTTGTGTGACCTTCAGCAGTGGTTTCAGCTTAAACGAGTTTCTATGAGATGCAGTCAGGTCAGTGAGTTTAAGCAGACAGGGAAGGTTTTGGGCAGCAGCTCTAAGAAGTGACTTAGACAAACTCTCTCTGCAGCTCAGGTTGTTGCAGCCTCCTTTGGGCCCACTCTTATCTCGAGCAGTTCACCTTCAGCAGCCACATTCTTTTGTATGTTAACAAACACACCCTGTTGGTACATATATATATATATTTTTTTCCCCCCCCCCTTGATATTTCAACCGGATATGCTTGGCCTGAATATTTATCCCTTCCACACTGGAATAAATTTATGTGATAAATCAGCTAAATGAGGAGAGAAAGTTATAGCTTTTAGTGCTCTGTGCCTTCTGGAGGCTATTCACCAGCACTGAGAGGAGGGATACCATGGCCATGAGTCACTGGGAAACCCAGGGCAGCCCTTTAAATTTAAAAAGCTCTGCTCAGAGAAGTGACCATGCAGTTTTCCTTCCCTCTCTTTCCCCCCTCATCCAAAAAAAGATAATTAACCCATAAGGAGAACAGGTCAGTTATTACATTTTCTCCAACTCGAATTCTTCTTCCTGTATAATTTAATCTTTTAATCACAGACATTGCTATAGGAAGGAATCAAATTGTTATTCTTGTACCCTCTCAGACTGAAAGAATGAGATCTGGGTTGGGAGATCTAATTAGATCTGCAGCCTGAGCCAGCAAGCTGCTCCCCACAGCTCCCTTCGTTTGGTTCTGGTGCTGTTGTTGCTTTGGGAGTGTGTCAGATGGGAGACTGGCAGCCTCCACGTGTGGCCACGTGCCTTGTGTGACAAATTTCATCAGCAGAGGGCTACAGCTCACGGTCTGGGGCGAATGGGAGCAGGCTGGGGTAAATTGCACGTTGTAATGACATCTTGTTTTGAAATCAAAAAGGTAAGAACAAAACACTGAAAGCAAAGCAGCAAGTCGAAACAGCCTTGCCTAGCTGTAATAGGACATAATCAGACTCTCCTGCATGTATATTCAGTATTTCCACGACCCTCAGAGGAGATTAAGGATTCTTTCTAACTCTGTTACACATTTGAATGCTGGCTCACATACAGAATCTTTAATTATGTCTGAATGTGTTGAAGCTATATATAAATACTGGGAAAATAAACTGTCATGCTGCAAGCTGTGTTTTAATAACACAGCAATGGGGTATATTTTTATAGTAATTTTCATATTATTACTTGTGTTTTAATCTGCATGTGGCAATCTGCATTAGACTGATAGCAAATATGCCCAGCTTCTCATTCTGCTGAGTTCAGTGGTCATTAAACTCTCCTCAGCAGAAAAGTCCTGTGAGCTTAAATGAGATTTCAGTAGATCCTCGGGTTTTTGCCAATCCCTTAAAGTGCTTAATTTCATCCCAGGAACTGAAATGTCCATGCTCAGTAACCTCAAATAGGAGTGCAGGGAAAAAAAAAAAACCTGAAGTAATACCCTCCACAACGAGTCAGTGCTGATACAAAGGCTCTCCCAGCTGCCTTTTCAGTAACAGTTACACCTCTCTAACATTCCCTTTCTTTTCCTCCAGGCGCCAGGATGTGCTGACGGTCACACCATGGCTGGCCCCCATCGTCTGGGAAGGAACCTTCAATCCTGAGCTCCTGGACAGTGCCTACAGGGCACTGAACCTCAGCATAGGGGTGACAGCCTTTGCCGTCGGAAAGTAAGGGAAGCACTCGGTGGGCGCAGTGCTTGGGGTGCTGCACTTCACTGTGGGAAGAACATTTTGGCTTTTCTTGTCCTCAGCAAAGCTGAAATCTGTCCCAGTCTGTAGCAGGCTTTTATGCCCGTGTAGTGTGTCCATAATCACACAAGCTCACAGGATGACAGCACTTAAAAAACCTGAAAGTCGGTATTTTTTTGAGAACTGGCAGGTGTCTTGGGAGTTAGAGCTGCAGATTGGTGGTTGCTCGGTCAGAGGGGGGATAATCCACTTATTCCTTGTCCTCCACTATACTTTACCTATTGCATGTGTAGTGTGTGGATCCCTGCAGTGATAGTCAGCCAACACTCTTCACCCCTTGTCTTCTTTCATTCACCAAAGTACTCTTCGTAATCCCCTTGGAATCACAGAGTGGTTTGGGTTGGAAGGGTCATTAAAGCCCATCTCATTCCAAGTCCCTGCCATGGGCAGGGACACCTTCCCCTATCCCAGGTTGCTCCAAGCCCCATCCAACCTGGCCTTGGACACTTCCAGGCATGGAGCAGTCACAGCTTCTCTGGGCAACCTGTGCCAGGGCCTCGCCACCCTCACAGGGAAGAATTTCTCCCTAATATCTAATGTAAACCTGCTCTCTGTCAGTTTGAAGCCATTCCCCCTTGTTCTATCACTGCATGCCCTTGTAAAAAGTCCCTCTCCAAATAAAGTCCCTCCTTGTCTCTGCTGTGCTCTTACCTGTGGTGTCTGCACAGGTACACGAGGTTTGTGAGGCGCTTCGTGGAGTCGGCAGAGGAGCACTTCATGAAAGGCTACCGGGTGAACTACTACATCTTCACTGACAGCCCCCAGGCAATGCCCAGTGTCCAGCTGCAGCCTGGACGAAGGCTTGTCCTTGTGCCCATCACGAAATACTCCAGCTGGCAGGAGATCTCCATGCGCAGGATGGAGGCCATCAACAGGCACATAGCCGAGGTGAGCCACAGGCAGGTGCAGTACCTGTTCTGCCTGGACATCGACATGGTGTTCCACAACCCCTGGGGGCCCGAGACCCTGGGGGACACGGTGGCAGCCATACACCCTGGCTATTTCAGTGTGCCTCGAAACCAGTTCCCCTACGAGAGGAGGAGCTCCTCAGCAGCCTTCATCCCTGCTGGGGAAGGGGACTTCTACTACGGAGGAGCCGTGTTCGGAGGGTTGGTCAGGAAGGTCTACGAGTTCACCAAGACTTGCCACATGACCATCCTGACGGACAAAGCCAACGGGATCATGGCGGTCTGGCAGGAAGAAAGTCACCTCAACAGGCACTTCCTCTCCCACAAACCCTCCAAGGTGCTTTCTCCAGAGTATTTATGGGATGACAGGAAGCCAAAGCCCCCTGAGATTCACCTCGTACGTTTTTCCACAGTGGATAAGAACTACAAAGAGGTACGAGATTGACCATCTGATGCCTGCAGAGGTGTCCTCCCCACAGTCAAACCCATTGAAATGAACTCACACAGAACATGCCCTACCACGAATTTTTGTTCCCAGTATGAACAAACTGAGAAAGGACCATGTGGATGGCTTCTCTGGAGAGAACAGGAGTCTTTATTCATTTCAGAAGCAGCAGCCAAAGTGTAGATGAGACTGGAAAGGTTTCTAGGTCCCTAATCTTTGTAAATACAAGCATCCTGCCTGAGGCTGCAGCACCCAAAAAGGCATCCAAAAGGCTGGTTTTCCAAACCAAGGCTGCAGATGCCTTTGCCTGAGTGTTTTCCTGAGGCCCAGCAGAAACTTAACAAGATCAAAATGGTATTTGACATGCCTGTGGAGAAATTCTAGAGAAAAAGAATTTTGCAGGGCAATAAATTTTCATGCACTGTGATTTAAGCTAACACCTTTTGTCAGAATCAGGAGGAAACTTGCACTTGGAGCACGTTATCCCTGACTTATGTGCAGCAGGATTTCTTGGACCTTCTCAGCAGAGAGCTTGGTGCCAGCCATTGCCAGTAAGAGCCTGGTCTGACAGGACAAATAGTGTGAACTCATGTAGCAGTTATCTTCCAAATTCCCCAATCTGTCCTTTGGAGACCCAAGTTGAGACAGAACTGGCACAGCTCAGGCCCAGACTGAACTTCTCTGGGTTTATTTCAATCGCAGATGTGCTCTGAACCTTCTCCCCGGGTCACATGTCTCTGTGGATCATGTAATCTTTTCCAACACAGAAAATCTGGTTCTGAGGCGTTCCTGTTCCTATCCATCGCTTCAGCCCTTTCCAGCTCCTCCAAGCTCTGTGAAATAAATTGGCGAGGAGCTGCTGGAGCTGACAGCAGGAGCTGATGCCTTTCCAGCAAACAGGGTGACTTCATTTCACAACGCAGTGCTCTGGTGAAGCTGGGAGTTCAGCCTGGAGCCTGAAGCAGGGCTGGGGTTAACATTTTCCCTCGCTGGATGTGATGAGGAGCTGAACTGGGCGCTGTGCAGCCTTCAGAGCCTGACAGCTCACCCGGCTGAGCACGGGGGAGCAGCCACAGCTCGGCTCGCCAGCGACTGTGGCTGTCAGCTGAGGTCACAGCACTGGGGTGCGTGTGCCACCTCCCCTGTCACAGCAGGGCTGCCATAAACATCATCTCCCTGACGTCCTCAGGCGCTGCTTCCAAAGGGCTGCGCGTCAGAGCCCTGTTTGTTCAGTGAGAGCGGGGAGAGAGGGGCAGGGAGAGGAGGAGCAGGGGTGAAAGGGTGAGCTGCCTGTTTCTAAGGGAACAGTCCAGGAAAAAGAAAAAAAAAAAAAATGGAAAGAAAAGGAAAAAAGACTCATTTGGCAGAGAGAGGAAAAACGGGGAAGAGGTGCCTGACTGTTCCTGCTTCTCCTCACATGAGAAAATTGCTGTATGGCAGCGAATCAAGTATTCAAAGCTTTAGGGCCCCACCACTGATTGCAGATGACTTAACGAGCCATTTCAGTCCTGTGTGAGCAGGCTGGAAATGGCACTTGCCACTGTCATTGTAGGCATTTCATCTTCCAGAAGACTAATTAGAAAAGCTTTCACGGCACCCATAATGTAGATAAGGTGCACAGAACACCTCCAGCCCAAATGCCCCAGTGGCAGCTGGGTCTGTTGATTTGTGCTTTATCCAGCAAAGGGTCTTTTCTATTATATTTTCTCCAGTCTGTTCTTAGTGATGTGGTGCAGGAGGAAGACACCCCTTTACATAATTAAACCAGAACTGAATCCCCTGAGAAGATGTCCCTTTGGTAACCAGGCACCTCATCTAAGCCAAAAGGGTGAAGAAAGGTCCATATCCAAATATTTCCAGAAAGATATGTTCCCAGCAAACCCAGGATTAATACTATTTTGTATTTCTAGAACAGTTATTGCCTGAAGGCCATGCTGAAAACTGGGCTCTCATTATGCCAGTTGTTACATATATGCATATGGATTCTTTACAAGCCAGAAGGAACTGTCTAGTCTGCTCTGCACAGGACAAGGCAGATAATTTTATCTCCTGGTGTCAGTACCAGTACATGGCTGGGCTGGGCTAGATCTCTTAGAAAAGCATTCAGATCCAAGAAAAACATGAAGTTATATAGCAGCCACAAATCCATAGATCAGCTGTGCCAGTGGCCAATTCCCCTTATGCCTTTATTCTGCTTGAAATTATGCTGGTTTTGCAGCCATAGGGCTTCACTCTGCCACACTGAATTATTGAACTCCTGTGCAGATACTCATAAATCCATCATGAGGGGAAGTTCTCCAGCACAGACTGGGTGATAAAAAGCAGTCTGTATTTCTGGGGTGCCTGCTTGGAAAAACTTCTGTGAAGGGTTTGGTCCCAGCTCTGCATCCAAGCTGCCTTTTGGCTGAATCCTCGACCCTCTGATTGACACCATAATGGCCTGATTTGTGCCGTGCCAAACATGTTTATTTTCCTGGCAGCCCCGCAGCTTCTCCCCTGGGGAATATCTTGTGTTATGTGACACACTTCTGCTCGACAGGGCTGTGGTTTGAAGCAGTACCCAGAAACTCCCCGTGTCTCCAGGGAGCAGGAGAACAAGCCTGCAGCAACAACCCCCCCAGCGTGGGGGCTGCTCCCTGAATCAGCTCCTGCCCTCCTCTAATTAACGAAAGCCTGGACTTGTGTTGTCATCTCCTGCTGATTAATCCCCTTCCCCCAACATCAGAGGCAAGCTTTCCTTCTCCCCCTTGGATTGTGCAGTCTGGGGCTTGTGAGCACTGTGGGAGCTTCACAGGGATCTGCTTTCTGATCTGCTTTCCCCACCAACACCCAGTGGGGGAACTGAGGCACAGGGCAGGGAATGCCTTCCAGACTGTCACTCCTGCATGGCAGGTCTTCCTCCATTCACCACAGGGGACAATGTTGTCTTATCTGTTCTTGTGCCAAAGGAATTTGGGCTTGGAAATAGAGAGAACTGCAGGAAGAGTGAATCACCACATGTAAATAAATCACCTGCCTGGGGATCTGCCTTGTGCTCTCAAGGTATTTTCCACTCAAGCCCTGCTTGCATTAACCAAGCCTCAGAGCAGTAGCTTGTTGCCTTCCCAAGGGCCCCTTGTTCCTTCCATCTCTTTCTGCTCAGCTGGAACAGACTCATCATTCATTGTCCATCTAATTTAAGAACCCATTTGACAGGCTGTTTCTCTCCTTGTCCCAGCTGGTGTCTTGTACAGTGCCTCCATCCCCAGAGGGAAAACCTCTCTGGGGGGGTGAGAAACAGAAACTTCCAGCACTGAATATGAGTCAAGGTGGGGCCAGACCGTGATCCTCTCATTCTCCCCACTAACAAGACAAGGATCATTTCCACTAAGCCCAGACTGGGACCCTTTTTTGCTCCTATTTGGATTTCCCATAAGCCTCCCATAGGTGATGTTGCCTGACATTACTGACCAGAAAGGTCATTTTGAACCCCTTTGGTACAGTGCACTACTTATGAAAGAACTGCCCTAGTCAAACCCCCCTGGGTGACATCTGGGGCACGGAAATAAGATGGTCTTTGAGCAGACATGGACGAGGAAGGATAAGAACATCAGTTATATATTCCTTGCACAAAACCAGCTTGTGGAACAGCCACGTGCATCTGGCTGACTTAACGCAGCTAAAGCAGCACAGTGGTGGAAAGGAGCTGGAAGGCTGGGAGCTCCCTGCCAGAGCTGCTGGGTTCACTCTCCTGCCCTTTGTCTCACCTGTTCAGCCTGGGGCTCTTGGAGAAAGGGGCTGTCTCTGTGTTTTGTTCTGTGTTTGCACAGGGACTAGTCTGGGTTGCTCACTAGGGAATGTGAGATGCACAGAGTGAGTTTCTTTCTCAGTGGGGATTTGCTCTGATCTCAAAGGGCAGCTCTCAGCACAAAGGTCACTGTTTTCTCACTTGAATCCCACCTGCTCTGCTTCACCTCGCTGCCCCAGCAAGTCCCTGCGGGATCCCCAGGGGGTGGAACACTCAGGGAGCAACAGCTGCTCTCCAGGTGGAGTGACAACGACAGGACAGTGACTTCCAGGGACAGCAGGAACTGGAGAAGGAGTTACAGGAGTGGGTTGTACTTTACTCACGCAAAACCCCCAGTCCTGTAGTTCTGCTCCACACAATCAAATAATTTAGGAAAGCATCACTAGCAAAACGCATCTGAGGAGTGACATTTAAATGTCTGCCTGCCCACCCAACTCCCTCCTTTCTCCACGAGTGTTGCTGTTCTGACTTGACTTTTCTTGTGCTATATTTAGCTTAAACATAGATCCACCAAATGTTGCTGTTTCATGTAACACTAGTGTAAAACCTTAGGAATAGAGGCAGTTTTAACCAGAAATCTCTACTGCTTGTATGCCCACCTCATCCCCACTGTTCCCCCGCTGAACCTTCAGCTAATTTAAAAGCAAGCCAGATGAGTACAAATTACCTTTAGAAAGTGCTTCATTACGGTGTGTTTTTTAGTGAGTTTTGCCAGCAGCAAATTACATAGTTCTAGACCTTTTGAAGTGTGCGTTTCCCCCACTGTTGAGCACTGGCACCGTTACTATAATTAGAAGGATGTTGCTCTGTAGCAGCATCTAGTGCCAGAGCCAGAGCCCTGGCAGCACCTTTTCCTTTCCTGGCAGCGCTCCCCAGCCAGAGCTGCCGGTTCTGCTGGCCCGGAGCCACGGAAGAGGGTCAGGTGCCATGAGCTGTGCCTTGTCACTCATTCCCGCTGAGACCCGACCAGAATTGGCTGCTGGGGCCTGGGGGGGTGTGCTGGTCCCCAAAACCAGCACTGCAGCGGCCGGGAGCGCTCGGCCGTGGAGTGACGCAGCCTTCTCCCAGCTCCTGCTTCTCCTGACATCACTCTGTCATGGCTCGTGCCATCGGCCTCATGATGACAAACGATGGGTACCGGAGCCGCTCCGTTTCCAGGGCAACCACGCTGTCTCCCCGGCTCCCGCTCCAGCTCGCCGACCGTGCGCCCGCAGCTCCGGCAGCGCTTCCCCGGGGTCCCTCCGTGCCCCGTTACGGTGCCGGGTTGAGCGGGAGACGAACAGCCGGGGTTGTGTGTCCGTGCCCTGGCTGCCAGCCCTGGCATCGCCTCCTGGGGGGCTCCGCCTGGGGACAGCCCGGCGGGGCCGCGGGGGACTCGTTAAGCCACAGCCCCGAGCCCTTCTTCTATTTATATCCCGCACGGCAGCGCCGCGCCGATCCCCCCTTCCCCGGAGGGGTCTGCACAGGGCCTTCCCACGGGTCCTGCTCCCCCCGCGGCGCCCACAGCTCCCGCCTCCGCAAGCGAAAAAGCACCCAAAAAGCGGAGGGGCGCCCAGGGCTCCCGGGTGCCTCTGCAGAGGTGCCTGTGTGCTCGCCCACGGCGTGGGCACCCCGGGAGAGTTCCCCGTGTGTTCGCCCACGGCGTGGGTACCCCTGGAGAGGTGTCTGTGCGTGCTCCCACGGATGCGGGTGGCCTCGGACAGGTGCCCGTGTGCTCGCCCACGGCGCGGGCACCCCTGGAGAGGCGCCCACGAGCACCCCCGCAGCAGCAGCAGCCGCGCACCCACCCGCCGGGCCAGGGCCGGGGCCGGGGCAGCGGGGCCGGGCGGAGCCGGGAGCCGCCCCCGCCCTCCCGGTAGCGGTGCCCGCCCCGCTCCCGCCCCGCTCTCCGCTCTGCCGGCCGCGCTCCTCGCTCCGCGCTCCTCGCTCCGCGCTGGCGGCGGCTCCCCGGGGGCGGCGGGGCCCCATGGCCGGCGCGGAGCATCGCGCC